TGGCTTTAAATTTTAATTATAAAATTAATAACACATTATATTGTAAGCTTTTTTCTAATAGCTTTGAAAAACTTTCTAATCTACATATAAACTGCCATTTAGCAGATCACGCACGTCAATATGCAACTTGCATAAATACAGCAGTCGATATCAAGGAAATGGTGCATCGAATATTTAAAGCAATCGTCCCACATACCAACAAACGTAATCTTGAGCTCACTTTGTTACAACAAATTAATACATTACAAACTTTAAGGTATCTTGTAGACGGTGGAATGGATGATCGAATGCCTTGTTATTCAACACGGTCTATTTTTATGCCATTTATTACTACATCACGACTTCGCTCTTTATTATCTGGTTGGTGTGTTAATGATTATAGCTTATCGATACATCATTTAAATGGTATTTCTGATCAGTTACAAGTTGAAGGTAAAAAAAATAATTGCTGTATTATTTCTTTATTTTTACCCGGGTTAAAGTTACCTGACCCGATAAGCTATAGTCATTGTAATGTGATAAGAATAAATACAGTAGTAAGATTTTGGTGGCTTTAACCCAGAATATCTCATTTTTTTATATTATGTACTTAAAAGCATTTAATTTTTTAGAAAATTTAACCGCTATTACCAATCCTGAACTTTTAAATTGTTCGGAAATAAAGCTAGGGTTAAGATAGAATAAAAATCAAATCGAAGCTGCTGGATTTATATCAACAAATATCGAAACAACCGGTTTATTTGAGGATATTACGAAGGCATACTCATCATACTACTCATTTGAGCAAGCATTGTTGGAAACGCGAGTTCATTTTTATGAAAACATGTCATATACAGTATTTAAACCTGACGGTGATTATCATACAGTAAAATTAAAAGTTGGCGAAATAGTTGAAGTTACACGATATGATGAAAGCGAACTGACATTTGGCAAAATAATGAGTATAATCGAACATTCATGGAATGACAATCAAGAATATGTTTTTCTTTGTTTTGATTGGCTAGAAGATCTTAATAAATGGGACTCTTTGTTAGATTGTCAAGTCTATCATATTCAACATAATTCTTTGAGCCGAGTTCATCCAATTTCTACAGTATTACAATCATCAGGCATTCCTTTTATTCACTATTGTGATTCAAACTGTTCTTTTCAACGACATGATACTACAAATGCTGAGTATATCCGTAATGACTTCTTCTTCGTGGCAATTTGAAACAAAATAATTTTTATTATAAAACATTATGTAATAGCTATACATGCTGACGAAATTATTTTGGGTTTCGGGGTATGAAATTAAAATTTGAAGACGAAATTGTTTTTGACCTATTTTACTTAAAAGACGAAATTTTTTGACACTTTTTT